GCCGCAGTAGGAGGATTAGCCTAGTGAGTCGCGGCCCTGGCCGGTTTTTCTTTAAGTTTCTTTAAGGTTCTGTCTTTAATTTCTTCTTCTTCTTCTTCTTCTTCTTTTTTTTTTTACAGGCAGAGTGGACAGTGAGAGAGAGAGACAGAGAGAAAGGTCTTCCTTTGCCGTTGGTTCACCCTCCAATGGCCACCGCGGCCGGCACGCTGCGGCCGGCGCACCGCGCTGATCCGATGGCAGGAGCCAGGTACTTATCCTGGTCTCCCATGGGGTGCAGGCCCAAGTACTTGGGCCATCCTCCACTGCACTCCCTGGCCACAGCAGAGAGCTGGCCTGGAAGAGGGGCAACCGGGACAGAATCCGGCGCCCGACCGCCGCACGGCGGAGGATTAGCCTAGTGAGCCGCGGCGCCGGCCCTCTTCTTTTTTTAAAGATTTATTTATTTATTTGAAAGAGTTACAGAGAGAGGGAGAGACAGAGCGAGATCTTCCATCGGCTGGTTCGCTCCTCAGATGGCTGTAATGCCAGGGCTGGGCCAGGCCGAAGCCGGGAGCCAGGGACTGCATCCAGGTCTTGCATGCAGGTGCCGGGGCCCAAGCACTTGGGTTATCGTCTGCTGCTTTTCCAGGCCATCAGCAGGGAGCTGGATCGGAAGTGGAGCAGTCAGGATACAAACATGGTGCCCATAAGGGATTCGTGCCTTGCAGGCAGTGGCTTTATCCACTATGCCACAGCGGCCGCCGTCCCCCCAGCTCCACCCTGTTCTGTGTTTTCTAAATTTTCCACGTTTGGAAGTGTATCAGGTAAACAAATGAACAGTAAATAAATAGGAAGAAAAAGAAGGAAAGGAGAAAAGGCAAGGCGGCAATCTGCATATCCATGAGATTCCTTTCAGTTACAAGTGACAGCAATCCAGTTCAGACTGGCTTATGACTAGAAGGTTCTGCGATGTCAAGGCCGTGTCATCGGGAGCCTTTTCCCTCCTCCTGCCGGCTCCGTCTCCCTCGGTGTGCATTTGTTCTCTGTTGGTTTTGCAGCTCCTGTCGGACGTGGTGACTGCTGTCCAGAGCGATTTCACAGCAGCCTAGTTCGGTGGCGCAGGATGACAGTGACAGGTTTAGTTTCAGCTGCTCGTGGGGCAGGAGGACCATGTGACAGATATGACTTGGGAGAGCTGAGGGGTCCCATCAGGGGGACAGAGGGTGGGACAAGGGGTATCTTAGTACGTGCAGCTGCTTGTGACCCACACACATTTATTGCCTACACTTCTGGAGCTCAGAAGTCCAAGATCAAGGTGCTGGCAGTCTCTGGTGAGGGCGCGTGGGGGAGGGGGAGGGTGCTTCCTGGAGTCCCATCCTGAGGGCTCCACCGCCATCACCTCCCTGAGGCCTTAGGCCACCATCACAGCGGGGGTCTAGTTTTTACATCCAGACCGCAGCAAGGGAGACGGGATCGAGGGAGGCGGCCCAGGAGCTCTGCTGCACCCGAGCGCCGACTTCCGAGCTCAGGGGTCCCACAGTGAGATGTCTCAGATGTGGCCCTCCCTGGGGGTGACCTGCCTGCCCCGGAGGTGGCCAAGCAGGCGCCTCTGGGGGTGCCGGGGGAAGGTTCCTTAGAAAACCTCCTCCCAAAATCCTACTAAATCCACAACGTGGGTCCTGGATTCAGTGCTACAACAACATCCGGGGCCTGGAAACGCTGCTGGGTGCCCGTGGTCAGAAGACCCTCTCAGTATCAGGAAAGCACGGCTATTTTTACTTCCTCGGAATCCTCCGAGATAAACTGGGTGTTTCCTGGGTCCAATGTGACCGAAGGAATTACCAGTTATTGCTGAATAGGACCCAGTGGATGGGGAGGCAGGGAGACAGGTCGTGCACAGCCTGACCATACAGGGTGCCCTGGGCCCCGGCGTATTCAGAGCATGGACTGGGTGTCTCCAATGTGCTCAGTCTACCCCGAGTGGAACTGGTGATCCCAACAGACGTGGACCATCCCAGCCACAGGGGTTGGCTGATCCTCTTACTACTGAGAAGAGCTATTTGGGCCTGGTCTGTGCATGTCATCACTAAAAAGCCAGTGTAAGGGATCTGAGCAGACGCCATCTTTGAATACATTTTCTTTAAACAAAAAAAGTACAAGAATTCAAAAGCACCCCATCAAACCAAGAGCTGCCTCCCAGCTCAGAAGTCTGTGGCTGCGGCTGCCAGTGGAGGTAACGTGTCCAGGGGAGGGGCCCAGAGGGTCTCCCCCAACTCCAGTGTAGGTGCAAAGCTATGGGCTTCCCAGGGATCCCCACACTTTCTCTGCTTGCAGAAATCAGGCCAAACCAAAGCCCTAACTTCTTTGCATTAAGTCATTCGTTGCAAACAACAGAAGTATTTCTGTCCCAAGTTGGAAGCTGTCATTATCACCTTTTGGGAAAAAAGCCCACATACATGGAGAGAACAGTTTATTTCACTTTTCATCACAATGAATGGTTTACAAATGAGGCGAGCGTGCCTCCTGGGTGCCGGCGGCGCAACCCTCCCCCCAACATGGTTCATGTAGACTTTCTCCTGTAACTCCTTTCCTTTTAATTTTGAAACCCATACATAGTCCTTTAAAAAAATGTTTTTGAGGCTGTGCTGCCTGGCATTCTCTGTGCAGGCCCTAAAGCTCCTTGTGACTGCCCAGAGAGCTGAAGGTCAGGAACGGGACTACCCTTTGGCCCGCTAAGAAGCACATGCGGGAGACCACAGCCGCCCCCGTGAGTGCATGTGTGTTCCTGATTCATCAGATGCCTCTCCTCACCAGTGTTTCTCAACGTCTGGCCCACAAACGCCTGCGTCCGTCTCCTCCAGGGCTCGCACCTGCGGACTTCGGGACCCCACAGCTCCTGAACCAGGATCCGCAAGTGGGGCCGGTGCCTTCAGGGTCCGAAAACCAGGGCCTGTGGATTTCCTGCCCACTGCCACCCTGAAGGGCCGACCTCTTGCATTGCTTGTTTGTGATGAAGCATTGACGCCTTCGAGCGGGGCACTCTCACCCGCAGAGATGGGAGGCTTCTGAGAACACCCAGCCTGTAATTCTTCTGTTTTCCTCAGAGTGGCTAGCTGACAGCCTCGGGTGGCACTCCTCTCTTCCCTACAATGTGCCCCGTCCCTCTGGGAGCACCCCCACCCCCAGGGGCGGAATTCTGGGGAGCAGGTAGGGCTCAGGAAAAGGGAAGGAGCTGGGTCCACTCTGTGGAGAGAGCTGGCATTTCCAGAAGGCAAAAGGAAACTGACTGTTACCACCGTGTTTCCTCATGCGCTCTTTGGTATCTGGTAAACAGCCCTGGAAGATGCCAGGTGTGCCAGGAGGAACGGAACCCGCATGCAGCGCTGGCCACCAGGAACCTCCTGCCTCTTCTCCCCACCCCGGCTGCAGGCGATCCAGGCAAGGGGCAGAGACGCGGGGCAGGAATCTGGGAGCACGGGTGACACCGGAGACAGCTGTGTCCCCAGCGGCCTCTCCTGCTCTGTCACCTCAGACCTTGCTACTTTGGTAACCTTGGGGCCAGCACAGTGGCATAGAAGGTTAAGCTTCTGCCCGCAGTGTCGGCATCCTACATGGGCTGCTCACTTCCGATCCAGCTCTCTGCTATGGCCTGGGAAAGCAGCAGAAGATGGCCCAAGTCCTTGGGCCCCTGCACCCGCATAGGAGACCCAGAAGAAGCTCCTGGCTCCTGGCTTCAGATCTGCCCAGCCCCAGCCATTGTGGCCATTTGGGGAGTGAACCAGTGGATGGAAGACCTCTCTTTATCTCTGGCTCTTCTTCTTTTTAACTCTTTCAAATAAATAAGTAAATATTAAAAAAAGAAAAAGAAACTTGTAATTGTTGGCATTTTATAAAGGACCGTGAAGGTTACCAGTAGCTCACAGGGGAGTTCCTTAAAAAAGGGATCTTTATGGTTTCCTTGTATGTTAGGGCTGACAGTGCAGCCCAGGTAACCGCCGGCCTCCTCTGACCACTGCCCGAGAGCCGCCTGGCCTCCCCCTGCCCAGACGCCTTTCTGTCGTCCTGCAGTTAGGGTCACTGTTTAACTTCTAGTCTCTCACGGGGGATACAGGACAAAAGTCCCTATTCTAAAACCGAGAACTTCTACCCTTTCTGGAAACCTCTTGAACAAACGAACATTGTAAAGGAATGGATAAAGTTAAAAGCAGCAAACCAAGGGTGTGTGTGTGTTGCAGATGAGAACCACTGAACATCAGGTTTCAAAGACTAACGTCAAGGTCATGGGTCTTGTCCACGTACGTTCCCCATTCGTGGAAGGCGGCAACTGAGGCATGCAGGAACAAGACGGACCAGTCGATGCCCACACTAGAAGGCAGCTGTCATCCTCCTTCTGAGAAATCTCTTTCTTCCGGTCACGGGGGCAGGCTCAAGCCCCAGAAAGGAGGAGAGAGAAAAGCAATGCCATGCTAAAGACTGCAGGAATTTTTTAATTCATTTGTTTTAATTACAATCCGTAATAATAATATCAGTCTATTTTACAAGTTAAGTGTATGAGAATGTATGAAATAGAAATGGTAGGAAAAAACTAGGCGTGGGTCAGGAATACGAAGTTTTCCAAAACCAAGGGCCCAAGGAAGAGGCAGGGAGGCAGCAGGTAGGCATCTGCTCGTGGTAGGTCCTCCCTCGTGTCTGCACGGGAAGTAGTCGAGGCACGGCCCCTGCCTCGGTCTGGGGTTGGGTGTTTAGTCTGGTCAGTGAGAAAAAAGCCATCTGGTTACCTACACTGAGCTGGTCCCCTGGTGGCCGCAGGTGGGTTCTGCCATAGAGGGAATCAGGGGTGAAGTGCCAAAAATCAAAGGTGTGGAGGAAAAAAGAGTAGTTTCCTCCTCCCTCCCATGACCCCCAAATCTTGAAATGCACACACATTCTTCTCTCAGACGTAGAAAAGTCTCACTCTGGATGTGCTTACAAGAAGATCGTCGTCAAAAAACTTTGTTTCTATGATAACGTTCCCACTGGAAGCAGGGGGAGAAAAAGGGCGAGAGAGTGAGCACGTTAGGCACGAGATTCCACTCCCACACACCAGTCTCTCTCTGGCTGCGCTGGACCCGTATTCACCCAGAGCCTCAGCCTGGGGACACTGAACTCCCAAATCCTGGCCTAGATGGGGTTGGAAGCCTCACGTGATGTCTAACTTACGTGATGGTGCTAGCCCCTCAAGCCAGCGCGTGTCCCGGGGGTACTCTGAAGGCCTTGCTGGCAGGCCCTGCACGCAGGGAGCGCGAGGATCTGACTGCCTGACTTTTGGACACCGGCTCCGCGGACAGTGCCGGCTGGATTACGCACGGAAGCCTGCAGACCCTGGCGTGGTGCCTCCCCCTACCATGCCTGCTACAGTGGACAGCTGGGGTTTGGCGTGTCTGCTTCTCTTCTCCTGACTTTGGGTAACAGCACTCTGCTCTCCATTTGGGGGACACTCCCCATTCCTCCAGTCCAGGTATCAGCTGAGTGGCTCCTCCCTTCCTTGCCCGAGGGGTGGGCCCAGGACCAATCTGGGCCAGTCAGACTCTCTCCTTGAGCAGGGTCCTTCCCACGCCCGCTCCTCCAGGAAAGCGCCATGGATTCCTGCCCTGCATCTTCCAAGCTGTCCCAGGTTGTCCCCTTCCTCCTTCAACTAATAGTCAGAGCCTGTTTCTGTGGCTTGCAACGAAAGGGGCCAAAACAATGCACCTGCACTGTGATTCGTTTTCCTTGGGGGTTTCTCAGTGACCTCACCAAACCACTCTTGAGCTGAGTTAAGGGCAGCTGTTTTGTGGGCTTCTACAAACTATCATGTTTTAGGGGCTCTGAAAAGTGAGACGTGACTTAAAGACATTATCAAGGCTGGTGCTGTGGCATAGCAGTTAAGTCACCACTTGTGACGCCCGCATCCCAAATGGGTGCCTGTTGGAGTCCCAGCTGCTCTATTTCTGATTCGGCTCCTTGCTAATGCACCTGGGAAAGCAGTAGAAGATGGTCCAAGTGCTTGGGCCCCTGCATCCGTGTGGGAGACCCAGAAGAAGCTCCTGGCTCCTGCTTCCATCTGGCCCAGCTCTGGCTGTTGTGGCCATTTTGGGGGTAAACCAGCAGATGGAAGATCTCTGTCTCTCCCTCTCTCTTTCTATAACTCTGCCTTCAAATAAAATAAATCATAAGAAAAAAAGAAAGAAAAAAAAAATCTACCTCACAACACCACCACATTAGTTTCAGGGGAAAAATGTATTCAAACCATAGCATAGCATACACATAGGTAAATACGTAGTTATAAAGACATTAAAACAATGTTATCACAGACTTCCTGGTTTTATTTCCTGAAAGAAATCAGGCCTGACCAAGAAGAAGTCTAATGAAGATTAATAAAATATAAACACAAATAAAATGCCCTTTTATACTACTCGGTACTTTTCCAGAATAGTTAATAACTAGTAGGTACATTTCTGCTTGTAATTAATTGTTAAACGGGTAAATAAGGTAATCAACATCTGACTGGCTGACAGAATATAAAAATATATTCTGCTGTAATTAAATCTACTAGGGTACGCATTTAGCCTAGCAGTTAAGATGCTGGTTAAGACCCTCGGATTCCACGTGGGAGAGGCTGGGTTCAAGTCCCCACTCCGGTCCCAGTTCCAGCTTCCTACTAATGCATATCCTGGGAGGCGTCAGGTGACGGCTCAAGCAGTTGGATCTTTGCTACGCATAAGGAAGATCTGGGTTGAATTACCAGCTCCAGCTTTGGCTTCGCTTAAACCCTGGCCATTGTGAGCAGCTGGGGAGTGAGTCTGCCTGCCTGCCAGCCAATCTCTATCACTCGAACAAAAACAAAAACAAACAAACTATGACCGGCATTGTGGCACAGTAGGTAAAGCCACCACCTGTGACACTAGCATCCCATATGGCGCTGATTAGAGACCTGGCTGCTCCATTTCCAATCCAACTCCCTGGTAATGTGCCTGGGAAAGCAGTGGAAGATGGCCTAAGTGCTTGGGCCCTGCACCAACGTGGGAGACCCAGAAGAAGCTCCTGGCTTCAGTCTGGCACAGCCTTGGCCACTGTGGCAATTTGGGGGGTAAACCAGTAGAGGGAAGATCTCTCAGAGTTACAGAAAGGCAGAGAGAGAGAGAGATCTTACATCTGCTGGTTCACTCCCAGCCATAGCTAGGCTGATTCAAAGCCAGAAGCTTCCTCCGGGTCTCTTAAACAGGTGCAGGGGCCCAGGGACTTGGGCCATCTTCCACTGCTTTCCCAGGCCACAGAGAGAGCTGGATTGGAAGAGGAGCAGCCGGGACTCAAACCAGCGCCCGTATGAGATGCTGGTACTGCAGGCTGGGCTCTAACCCGCTGCTCCACAGCGCTGGCCTCCTGTGTAACTCTTTCAAATAAATAAATAAATCTCCAAAAAAATCCATTAGAGAAAAAGCTATTAAAAAAAACACCCTATTTACAAATTCTATGTGGCTTTCACAAAGAGCCTCCTGAAAGAGATGATCCGATAGTACAGTCATCTGTGGGCTCCCTGTCAGGCCCCACCACTGAAGCACTAGAGGAAGACTAACATCAATTCCTGAGAGATGGCACGTGGGCAGTTACTATGCTTTCAGACATTTCTTTGAGCAGAAAGCACTACTATTAGATTATAATTTATTTTCTGAGAAACTGTACCCAAACAGTATCCTCTAAGCCAGAATTGGGACTTTAGCAGATTCCAGAAAAGGAAACCCAAGTCCAGAGACACCAAAAGCATGACAATCAGGAAAGGGAAGAAATTAGAATGAATTTGGTATATATAAGCTTTATTTTTCGATTTGTTTGAAAGGCAGAGTGACACAGCAATCGATCTTCCATCTGCTGGTTCACTCCCCAAAAGCCCACCAACATCCAAGGCTGGGTCAGGCCAAAGCCAGGAGCCATGGGGCTGGCGCTGTGGTGCAGGAGTTAACCTTCAGGCCCTGGCCAGAAGCGCTGGCATCCCATATGGGCGCCGGTTCTAGTCCCAGCTGCTCCACTTCTGATCCAGCTCTCTGCTGTGGCCTGGGAAAGCAGTAGAAGATGGCCCAAGTCCTTGGGCCCCTGCACCCACGTGGGAGACCCGGAAGAAGCTCCTGGCTCCTGGCTTCAGATTGGTGCAGTTCCGGCCGTTGTGGCCAACTAGGGAGTGAACCATTGGATGGAAGACCTCTCTTTCCCTCTCTCTGTGTAACTCTTTCAAATAAATAAAAAAATCTTAAAAAAAAAAAAAAGAAAAAAAAAAAAAAAGCCAGGAGCCAGAAACTCCATCCTGGTCTCTCACATGGGTGGCGAGAACCCACGCCATCACCTGCTGCCTTCCCAGGTGCTTCAGCAGGAAGCTGGATCGGCGTGTGAAGCAGCCAGGACTCAAACAGGCACTCTGATGTGGGAATGGGGTCCCAAGCAGTGGCTTAACCTGCTGTGCCACCCACCTGCCCCGGATCTGGTGTCTATTAAACACCAGCTTCCTTCCATACCACGTCATTTTATGTTCACCACACCTCTGTGGGAGAGAAGTATTCACGCCGTGTGTGGAGATGGAAGACGAAGGCTCACAGAAGTGCAGTACATCCTGCCCAAGATGACTTAGCTGGTCAGGGTGAACCAGGACTTTACAACTAGGTCTAATCCAAAGTTTTGGACTCTTTCTCTCTGTCATGCTGTCTTTTTCATAAGACAAAGGTCAGTAACCAGTAAACTAAGACACCCTGGATACTCTCTTCCCATCACAGCTCAACCCAGTTCCCTGCTCACTGAACAGAACCAGGAGTCCCACCTGCCTGGGATGTCTGCTTCTAGACACACTTCACCGTTTCCTGAGACCTGCGCACTCACGTTAGGACGCTTGCTGGCATCATCTGGGACTCGGGTGCTGCCTCTATCAGGGACTGCCAGGTATTTGTGGAGTTGGGAATCACAAAGCCAAATTCGAAGAACCATTCTGAAGGAAGGAAAAGCTGGGGTGAGCAGGTGCCTCCACGTAAAACTTAGGGATCTTTGTCTCCTTCCTGTAAGATGAGCCTTTCCTGCCCCGAGAACCACCAGAGGAAGCTACCAGAAACCTCCCAGATCAGAGGCATAAAAAGGGACAGTAAGTGTGGGTTCTGATGCGCTGGCGTCTGCAGCCCAGGGCCAGCCAGCAGGATGCGAGGCTGGGTGTGAACACCAGAAGTAGCCTTCTCCCTTGGGATTTTAGCTTGCAGGTGCCTGGGTGCCCTCGTCTACGCCACGGGGAGGACTCAGCACAGGGTGGCAGAGCCAGGCCCACCTTAGGAGACTGTGTGCAGAGCACTGCATGCAGCCCTGCTCATGGCCACGGCCGCCATGACCACACGGCAACACCAGAGCAGTGCCGAACCATGCGCCCACAGCCAGGCTCCGAGCGCCAGACCCTGAAGCCCCTGGTGGTGGCCTGGTTTGGCTTGGCTTGACTGGGGGTCCCCAGTCTTGCAGGGTGTTGAAGTCCTACTACAAACTGACGTGAGAGGAGAGGTATGGAAGCCCTGCCTTGCCCGCTGGCCCTGCCGCCCACCGCCCTGCGCTCAGACATGCAGGGCCATACGCATGTATGCAATACCTTCTAGGCACTGCCCTTTGAAGTAAACTTTCTGCTCCAGGCGGAATTTCTCCATTTGCTCTGCTGAAGAGAAGTTCAGCTCTCGGGACACTGCTTTGCACTTGAGGATTTTCTTGGGAACACGGGCTGATAAGAGAAAAAGAAAGGTTGAAGCCATTCTACATAAAATCCACATGCCTACGAAGCTTCTAGTTTCCGGGCGTCCCTTACAGCTCATGCAGGGACATATTCCGCATGTGCCATTTCTGACAGTGCCTTGGGAACTGCACTGCGCTTCTCAGTGGAAGGCAGAGGCCTCTGACTGGAAGATCTGGGGGAGCCCAGCTTAGTCACCCCAGGCCTCACCGCTGCTGCCCTCGGGCCCAGGGACGCTGGGCTATCTTTGTATTCCACTCTGTTGGTTTCAACCTCTTAGTTTTTCTTTTACTTCATGGAGATAAAAATGCAAGGTTTGGGGAAGAAAATTGAGGTCTTAGTTTATATATGGAGGTATTTTCTAATGCTAAAATTTCAGTACAAAATGGGTTTTGGGAAATGGATAAAAGAAATGTAAAAAGGAACAAAAATGGCAACAAAACGTGAACCAGCAGCTGTGTCCTGGGAGCTCACCCCCTGTTAGGTGAGCGCTGGCTTAGCTCCCCGTTGCCCAGGCTCTGTCCTGGTGTTGGTCACAGCCCTACACACACAAAGTACCTTCATGTTCCACCCCAGGGACGGACAGGTCTTCAGTTCCTTGCCAGAGTATCTTCCCTGTCTCTGCATCCCGCAGGTTCATCCAGTTTCTGATCAAGCCTGATTAAGGAAAACAAGCTCTGAGAACGATCCTATGCGGTACTCTGGTGTCTCATGTCTGCCCTTCCTCTCTCTCCGCAAGTCGGCCAAACTGCTAAGCAGACAGAATGGAGGAGTCCAGAAGATGTCTAAAGGCAGAAGCAGAGACCAGATGTTCTATTTACAACACACAAGGAAGGTACTTCAATAAGTTTGTGGAAAAAAGGAATTAAAATGTAAGTTTATTTCGATATACAAATTTTGAAATACATGTGTAGTTTTTTTCATGTTACACATTTTCTTTTCTTTCTTTCAGATTTGTTTATTTGAAAGGCAGAGTTACAGACAGAGAAGAGAGAAGAGAGCAGAGAGAGAGAGAGAGAGAGATCTTCCATCTGCTGGTTCACTCCCTAGATGGCTGCAATGGTCAGGACTGGGCCAGGCAGCAGCCAGGAACCAGGAGCAAGGAGCCACACCGTGTCCGGCTTTAACCCACTTCCAAAGGGGAGTGGTTAATTAACCCGATTGGCTGGTGGGCACCCAGGTGTGGCCAGGTAGGGGAATGAGGTCACACAGGGGCATGGCAAAGGCATCAGGTAGGGGCATGAGGTCACACAGGGGTGTGGTGAAGGCGTGGTCTTCCAGTTCACAAATCTAATCAATTTTAACCTGTATGCCTGCTTACTTCATAAGTACTTGGGCCCCTGCACCCAGGTGGGAGACCCGAATTAAACTCTGGGCTCCTGGCTTCAGTGTGGAACAGTCCCAGCCCTGGTCACTGAGGCCATCTGGGGAGTGAGCCAGAGGATGGGAGAGTTGTCTCTTTCTCTGTAACTCTGCCTTTTAAATTAATTAATTTAAAAAAATTCCCCACATTCAAAGTGTCCAGCAAATGCCCAAGTCATATTGCAGTAATCTGCAAAGCATCAAGGATAAAGAGAAGCTTCCTTCTGGAGGAAAACAAGTTACTAGATAACAGTCAAAGTCAGAATGGATTAAAAAAAATCAGAATGAGACTTTTTTTTTTAAAGAGAAATTGATGGAACAAAGACATAAGCCTTAAGCCGTTCTGGCTCATTGCCCAAAAGTCAGATAAACACTGGAATGTATTCCTTGCCCTTAAATCTCAATTGGGTCTCACACCCTATTGCCTTCATACCCACCCCTCAGGGCCACTTCAAAGACCAGTTCCAGGACTTCACCTCCGCCTGCTGCCCCCTACCCCCCACCCCCAGCCCTAGCCCTCCTAAAATATAAAAAGGCCCGACCCCTGTGGTCAGGGCCTTCTGCCACGTGTTCCATCAGTGTGCACATGGGCAGTTGGTCACCCACCTCTGCGCATTTATTTTCTCTGAATAAATTCAGTCTGGCTGTAAATTCATATACTGCCTCCTTTCTATTCTGAACCTGTTTTCCTAACAGATTCCTGGAAGATAGAAAATCGAGTAGTGCCTTTAAAATTCCCAGAGAAATGATTCCTGAAACAAACTAAAAAAAATTTTATTGTCTCAATAAACTAAGGATGATACACACTCCATCAACATGACTGGGAGAACCAAGGAAGACAGTATGGGAACCTAATACAAGAAGCTGGGGAAGGGAGACCCCAAGTGACAGTGGAGGAAGGTCCAAGACAACAGGTCGTTGCCTACTGGCCCCGTGTCCAGACGGGAGCAGGGCAGAAGCACAGGGAGAGGTTTGTTTCTAAGCTGAAGTTCACGGAATAGCTAACATGTTTATGTGGAAGGGATATTTATTTCATTAGGAGAGATTTGGGGGTCAAATTAAGTACAAAGTACAGAAAACCTCAGCAAATGAATTGAAACACAATATAATTATTGATATTTGGGAAAAACCAAAGCTAGTACTGGAAGAAAAGAGTAGTCACAGTACACTGCATGGCCTTACTGCAAAGTGTTGACGTAGCCATAATGAGAGAAATGCAGGCTATAGTTCCAGAACAATAATCTGGGTGTGCCGTGCTGAAAAACCAAATATCACATCTCACAGTGGGAAGCTGAGGACAGGGCCATAGTGCTCTTCGGGAATATCAAGATAGGGATGGGGGCCATTGCTGTGGTGTAGAAGGCTAAGCCTCCACCTCCAGTGCTGTCATCCCAGATGGGCGCCTGTTCGAGTCCCGGCTGCTCCACTTCCAATCTAGCTCCCTGCTAACGCGCCTGGGGAAGCAGCATATCCTGCACCCATGTGGAAAGACCCGAAAGACGCTCCTGGCTCCTGGCTTTGGCCTGGCCCAGCTCTGGCTGTTGCGGTCATGTGAGGAGTAAACCAGTGCATGGAAGATTTCTCTCCTCTCTATTTCTGCCTTTCAAGTAAATACATAAATAAAGCTTCACATACACACACACAAAAATCAAGATAAATTCCAATTAAATTGGCTAAACATAATTGAAAATACAGAGTCTTCAAACAACGCCCTGAGGAGTAGGTGGGCATTTGGTGTGGCAGTTAAGACGACCGCACTCTACCCTGGAGTGCCTAGGTTTGAAAACTAGTTCTGCTTTTATTATTTTTTTAATACATCTTCTATCTGCTGGTTCATGCCCCAGATGGCTGCAGTGGCTGGAGCTGAGCCAATCGGAAGCCAGGAGACAGGATATTCTTCTGGGTCTCCCACGTGTGTGCAGGGGCCCAAGCACCTGGGCCATCTTCCACTGCTTTCCCAGGCCATAGCAGAGAGCTGGATTAGAAAAGGAGCAGCAGGGACTCGAACCGGTGCTCACATGGGATGCCGGGGCTTACCCACTACACCACAGGTGCCGGTAAAGGGCATGCTGCCCTTTCCCTAATCCCTCCACCCCCTGGTTCCTCCCTCTTGTTGAGACCCTTGGTGCCAAACCAGACCCTTCCGGACTCCTTGCAAAGCAACTGGCAAAACAGATAAACTGCACAGGGCAGCTTGTGAACCAGACAAGAGGAAAGTTCCCTGAGGCTTCAAATACCTAACCCCACCCCCACCCCCGCACTGGCAAATTCCCTCCTTAACCAGATAAAAACAGCTCTACCTGCACCCTGTGCACAGTGTCTTTGAAGACTATCCCCACCTTTTTGCTTCAATAAAGCAACCTGTCTCTGTTGAGGTCGGTCTCCTTCTTCCGTCTCTCCTTTCTGGGGGTGTGAAAGGCCAGAACTATTCCAAACCTAACAGCAGTCCCTAGCTCTTCTCTTAATTCCAGCTTCTTGCTGGTGCAGACTTGGGAGGCAGCAGCGGTATCTCAAGTGGTTGGTTCATGCCACCCCCACGGAAGACCTGGACTGAGTTCCCTAGCTCCTGGCTTCAGCCCAGCCCAGTCCTGCTTGTGTGGCATCTAGGAACAAACCAGTAGATGGGAGCACTCTCTCTCTGCCTCTCATGTAACACTCATGGAAAATACATATTATGAAAAATCTATGCATGCCTTTCAAAAAATTTTGCACCAAAGTAAACAGCTCCAGGTCTCCCACATAGGTGCAGGGGCCCAAGGACTTGGGCCATCTTCTGCTGCCTTTCCCAGACCATTAGCAGGGAGCTGGATCAAAAGTGGGGCAGCTGGGACTTGAGTCAGAGCCCATCTGTGATGCTGGCACTGCAGGCAAAGGCTTAACTTACTATGCCACAGCACTGGCCCCAATACAAACATTTTAAAAAGTAAAAAGGTAGATACTGAGCTCTAGAATTAATATAATTAACATGTTGGTTTTTTTTTTTTTTTTGCTGTCTGGCAACCAAACTCTCTTCCCAATGGCACCCTGTAACCCTGTAGCCTCAAAGATGGCCCAAGCACTTGGGCCCTGGAACCCACATGGGAGCCCCAGAAGGAGCTCCAGGCTCCTGGTTTTGTTTTTTTATTTTTTTTTTAATTTTTTGACAGGCAGAGTGGACAGTGAGAGAGAGAGAGAGAGAGAAAGGTCTTCCTTTGCCGTTGGTTCACCCTCCAATGGCCACCGTGGCTGGCGCACTGCGCTGATCCAATGGCAGGAGCCAGGTGCTTCTCCTGGTCTCCCATGGGGTGCAGGACCCAAGCACTTGGGCCATCCTCCACTGCACTCCCGGGCCACAGCAGAGAGCTGGCCTGGAAGAGGGGCAACCGGGACTAGAACCTGGTGTGCCGGCGCCGCAAGGGGGAGGATTAGCCTAGTGAGCCAAGGCGCCGGCCTCCTGGTTTTGGTCTGCCCCACCCCCAGCTGTTATGGCCATTTGGAGAGGGTATCAGTAGACGGAAGATCTCTCCCTCTCTCAGTGTCACTCTGCCTTTCAAATAAAGAAAAAAAATAAATGTTAGGAAAAAAAAAAGAATGGGGGGGCCAGCGCTGTGGTGCAGCAGGTTAATGCCCTGGGCTGAAGCGCCGGCATCCTATATGGGCACCAGTTCTGGTCTCAGCTGTTCTACTTCCAGCGGATGGAAGACCCCCCCCCCCCCCCCCCCTGTAATTCTGAACTTTGAATGAATAAATAAATCCTAAAAAAAAAGACTTCACAAAAATCCACAATGCCTATCCAGTAAGGGATGCTGGCGATGTGAGTGGTGGCTTAACCCACTGAGCGGGTCCCATGTGCTACTATTTTATTGCTACAAATATGCCTGCCATCTCTATTCGTGAACAGAAAGCTTCCCTGGCTGTAGAAGGAAACAACACATAGGACTGCTCCCTCAGCCTCCCCTGAACTCGTGTCTACCTAGAACAGTCTGGACCTCCAAGCTCAGGGCTTTACTGTCTTCTTCCGCTTGCTCTGCACGGGCTTTCCATTCTCTTTACCCAATATGGCAATGCAGGGCGTCATTCTCAAACTAAACAAAACAAAGCTAACGCTACGTGTGCAGTTCCAGGCTCACAGGCAGGTGAGGCATTCTTGTTAGTCAAATGGCGCTGCCTTACTTGTGGTGCCACCTAACCCCAGACACCATCTTAGGCCCTGGCCCCTGTCGCCAGTTGCAGGATAGGCCTTGGCCCTAAACCTCATGGTCCAACCACTGGTGTCAAGCTGCACCCTCACCCTAATGGGATTTGC